GTCCCACCTTTCTACTATCACGGTCTGAGATGCAGGTGAATGAGAGTCCTGGCTATCAGGCCACTGAGAGCTGTCTGACCAAAGGCTGATTCTAGCTCATTCTGTGGGGGGTGGGACTTCCTCCTCCCTGCTGTCAGTTTCCACAGCTGTGATGAGGAAGCTGGGTTACAGGGAGCCGCGCCCTCTCTCACTCTGCTCTATGTCCAGCGCTCTCCTGCTCTGCGAAGTCCTCCAAACCTCCCAACCTCCCGCTCTCTGCCGGCAAGGTCCCGGGAGCCTGCGGGCGTGGCTAGGCACAGCAGGCCTCGCCTCCTGGGCCAGCAATGGTCCCGGGAGCCTACAGCCGAGGCCACTGTCACCTCCTGGGGCACTTGACACCTGCGTATGCAAATTAACTGCCATCTTTTTTTGTTTTTCGTTTTTTTGTGTTTTTTTAAAATTTTGTTTTATTGCTTAAAGTATTACAGAGAGTATTACATATGTCTCCTTTCCCTCCCCCACCCCCCTTAACATGCCCCCGGCCTCCCTTACCACCCAGTGTCTTATGTCCATTGGTTATGCTTATAAATGAGTGAGATCATGTGGTATTTTTCTTTCATTGACTGGTTTATTTCACTTAGCATAATGCTCTCCAGTTCCATCTTTTTCGGGTTAATTTGCATAGTCAGTCTGGCTGGTGGGTGTGGTTTGTGGGCGTGACTTGAGTGTAGCGGAGGGACGGTTGATTTTCATGTTTCTATTTTATTATGTAGGACTAGAAGCTCGGTGCACAAAATCCATGCACTAGGGGATTCCCTCAGCCTGGCTTGCACCCTCTCTCAGTCCAGCAGCCCTCGGGGATGTTCCAAGACTGCCTTGGAAGCGGGAGAGGCTCCCACCATCGCTGTTGTGCTCACCAACTGTGAGCTCACCTCAGGGCTTCTGGCTGAGCGGCGCTCCCCCTGTGGGAGCTCACTGACCACCAGGAGGCAGCTCCTGTGTTGAGTTTCTGGCCCCTGCTGGTCAATGCACGTCATAGCGACTGGTCGTTCTGCTGTTCAGTCGATTTGCATATTAGCCTTTTACTATATAGGACTATGTAGGATAGATTGATTCAATTTTGTTTAGGAACTGTTGTGTCAGTGTAGAGAGTGAGATTTGTTTATAATCCTTTCTCATACTGTCCCTGTCCAGTTTTTATATCAAGGCTATCTTAACCTCAGAATGTAAGCTAAGGCCCTAACCGGTTTCGCTCAGTGGATAGAGCATCGGCCTGCAGACTGAAAGGTCCCTGGTTTGATTCCCATCAAGGGCATGTACTGTGGTTGCGGGCACATCTCCAGTGGGGGGTGTGCAGGAGGCAGCTGATCGATGTTTCTCTCTCATCGATGTTTCAAACTCTCTGTCCCTCTCCTTTCCTCTCTGTAAAAAAAATCAATAAAATATATTTTTAAAAAAGTAAGCTAAGGTCACTTTTCTTCTTTTTCTGGTCTCTGAATCAGTTTGTATAAGTTTGGATTATGTATATTTGATAAAATTTGCCAGTAAAAATAGTATGACCTTAAGGTCTTTCAAGTGGAATTGAACAGGGAAGACCTTTTATTAATGTGGGCTTTTTAGTAAGTTTTGCTAAGTATTATTCCATGTATATTTACATTTATTGATACAGTCATTTATAATATTCATTTATTTTAAAAATAGAGGCCTAAAACAAATTCATGCAAAGATGGGATCCCTCAGCCTGGCCAGTAATTGAGAGCTATTGTGGAGGCCATACGACCAGGGTGAGAAACCCCAGGAGGTTGGCCAGCCTGCCCCTGATCAGGGCTGATGGTGGGCCAGCCAGCCAGGAGGTTGGCCCCAGCCGGCCCGGCCCCAATCTGGACTATGCGAGACGCCCTAATAAGCGCTGATCACTGGCCAGCCCTAGGGACTGCACTCATGCATGAATTTCGTGCACCAGGCCTCTGTATATAGATAGTAGTATATAGATACTACTCCGTAGATCTGTGTCCTTTGATCTGACTGTTTGAGATGTTGGTATGGCAGTAAGGGTGTGAAGAGGGTCTGGGGGACAGGATCATTTGTAGGTAAAGAAGACAATAGACCGCTTTGGTTCATTACTATTTGTGTTCCATCCATAGACCGTCTGTTCCTGTCCAGTTCCAGTACTTTTTGCCAACATACCCACCTTCTGCGTACCCACTGACGGCACACACTTACACCCCAATCACCAGCTCCGTGTCCACCATCCGACAGTATCCAGGTATGATTCCCACTGTAAAGATGACTTAACATTTTCATTTTTCAAGCAATGAGGTAGAAATTGATCACTGGGTGTTTACTATGGCTTTAACTACTCTAGTTTCTATGTTCAACTTCATTTCAGGCTAAAATGTGAAGCTTTAATGTTTTAAATTACCATCTCTTTGTTTAATAAAAAGTTGTTAGTATTGTTAGTGACATTTGCATGATTTTTGTCCCACCTGAGGAGAATTATGTTAACAATTTTTGTTACACCTTAAAATGGTAGTGCAGTTAAAACGAATAAAGCTGCACTCTTACAGGGCTTCTTTTGTTTTATGGGGCGTTTGTTGTGTTTTTAATGTTAGTCCAATTATGCTCAACACTCACTATTCTTTCTTGTAAATAGCATGTTTTCTTTATCCAGAAAACAATTCTTAGACGTCAGTGTTTGTATAATATGTTCCTTGGGACTCAGCTCACTTTAGGTATGAGAAACCCAGATTGTCTTGCTGTGGACATTGCCTTCTGCTGTGCAAACGAGGCCTGCAGCCAGGGCCACAGGTGGCCATTGAGCATTTGAAGCGGGAGGTGGGGGACTCAGCGCAGATGAAGAACTGAATTTTTTGTTTTAGTTAATTAAAACTAGACAAACTTTAAATATGTTTGGAAAAACTTACTGATATGAAACTACTTTCTCAAAATGTAGATTTTATGGAATCAAAATACAAATCCAATATTTCTAATAAAAAATTTTTATCTGAATTGAGAATGTGCTGTAATAGCAAAATATGCCCTGAATTTTGAAGACATACTATAGAAATAAAATGTAAAATAACTTAATAAAAATTTTATAGTGATTACATTTTGAAATGATAATATTTTGGATACATTAGGTTAAACAAAATATATCTTTTTTTTAAAACAAAATATAACTTAAACATATACTAATATTAATCTGGCCTGCATCTTTTTACTTTATGAATTTGGCTACAGAAAATGTTTAAATTGCACATATGGCATATTTCAATTGGAATGCTGGTCTAAACTTTGAAAACATGGTATTTAAATCTCTTTAAAAACCAGTTCCTTCATCTCTGCATTGGTTTTTGAATATTGGTTGGTTTTATTTTTAATAAAAATTTCTCCAAATTTTATTCTAATTTTATCTCTAATGTGAAAAAGTAGCTGAATTTTCCTGAATATTCTGTCATTTTTTGTTCTACATCAAATTAATATCTTTTTAAAGGACATTCCTAACCATGTTCTTTATTAACAATCTTTTTTTTTTTTAATATATTTTATTGCTTTTTTACAGAGAGGAAAGGAGAGAGACAGAGAGTTAGAAACATCGATGAGAGAGAAACATCGACCAGCTGCCTCCCGCACACTCCCCACTGGGGATGTGCCCGCAACCCAGGTACATGCCCTTGACCGGAATCGAACCTGGGACCTTTCAGTCCGCAGGCCGACGCTCTATCCACTGAGCCAAACCGGTTTCGGCTCTTTATTAACAATCTTACAGAGATCAAGTCATGCTTAATTGCTGCCAGAAGTATTAAGCTTATTGATGCAAAGTCTTAAGTCTTTTTCTCAGTGGCAGCACTTACCTCTTCCTCCCACCTTGGCCCTCTCTCACAGTGCCGTCATTGTGCCTGTCTCCAGAAGGTAGCGTGTGAGAAACGTGTATTTCTCTGATAGTAGCCAACTGGAAAGGCTGTGCAGAGTATCTCTTAAGCTGACATTGTTATCTATAATAATAAAAGCGTAATATGCTAATTAGACCAGATGTCCTTCTGGACAACCTTCCATTCGAAGCCAGGGCTGTGAGGGAAGCCCAGGTTCCAGGTGCCAGAGGGAAGCCGGTGCAAGCAGCTGGGGGAAGGAAGGCCTACTCTTGCATGAATTTCATGCATTGGGCCTCTAGTTGTATATAAATATTTATTGTCAAAACCCGTGATACTAGCACTGTCAGTAGTGTTGCGCATCCTGCCAGTCACCTGTATTTCTACATTATTATTCCAAGTATTTTCTCTTACCACTACAGCAGACCTGAAAACGAGTAGCCCAAGCCACAAGGCTTCTTCCCATCCCAGTCTGTGCACCAGCGTGCTGCAGACGAGAGGGAGGGGGATGTCTTTCTCTGACATCATAGCAAGCAGTCGAACTCCCATTCGGTCAAACTCCCGAGGGGACAATTTGCATATTAGCCTTTTATTATATAGGATTATATAGGATTGTTCAACGTCTCTAGTTCCTTATAAAGATGGAATCTTGTTGGGCCAATAGATATTAGTAGAATATTTATATGACTATGTAATTATAAATACATATACATAACCTATATAGTTTGTAAGTGATTGATCCCTCTCAAATTGTTCCTGAAATTTCACTTGTTTCAGAGGTGTATTTCATTCATTTATTTATTTGTTCATGCATTTATTAATTCCACAAATATTTATTGACACTCTACTATATGTAAGGTCCTATGGCAGGCTTTCTTTTTAAAGCTGACTTTTTTTGTTTAAAGAAATGTTATTTATTTTTAAAAAAATATTTTTTATTGATTTCAGAGAGGAAGGGCGACGTAGAGAGTTAGAAATATCAATGATGAGAGAGAATCATTTATCAGCTGCCTCTTGCACGCCCCCTGCTGGGGATCAAGCCGACAACCTGGGCATGGACCCTTAATCAGAATTGAACCCAGGACCCTTCAGTTCACAGACCTACGTAAAGCTGACTCTTAAACAGATCTTGCTGTCAACGAGCTTAGAGTCTTAAAGAGATATTACAATTGACAAAAGTATGGGGTCCCAGAAGAGAGGCTTGAGCAAAACCATGCTGCTTCTGCCGTTCGAGATGTGATTTCTACATGAGACAGTAGGGCTGGAAGTCAGGAATGACCTTCCTCGGGGAAGTCATATGTGGAAAGCATCGCTCAGAACGGAGAGGACAGAGGCATGGCAGTTCAGTATTGGCTGAGCACAGTGAGTGACCTTGAGAGGAACGGTGACTAATTGCATCCTCTCCAGGCAGACAACCCAACTACCACTGAACAGAGACAACAAAGCTCACTTCTCAGAGACACAAATAATGCTCTGTGGGTTATTTATTTTACAGCAGAGAAGAATGACATATAGCAATGGCTGGAAATACACACGTGTACTAACTTCACTATACTATTCTCATTCATAATAAAAAATTTTTTTTCCTCTGGTTTATAAAACTTTTAATTATATCTTTTTTAAAATTGAGGTGTAATTGACATATTAGTGTCAGGTGTACAATAGAATGATTTGATAATTTCTGTGATAGCTTTTAAAATATATTTTTATTGATTTCAGAGAGAGGAAGAGAGATAGAAACATCAATGATGAGAGAGAATCATTGATTGGCTGCCTCCTGCACGCCCCACACGGGATCGAGCCCGAAACCCAGGCATGTGCCCTGACCGGGAATGAAACTGTGGTCTCCAGGTTCATAAGTCAACGCTCAACCACTGAGCTATGACAGCTGGGCAGTAACTTTTAAGATCTCTCTTAACAGCTTTCAAATATGCAATTCAGTCACCATGCTATGTTACATCCCTATGACTTATTTTGTAACTGGAAGTTTGTACCTTTTGACCCCTTCATCCATTTTACCTACCCCTTCCAGCCCTCCTACTTCCCCCAGCCCAGCCTCAGTCAACAGTTAATCTGTTGTCTGTGTCTGTGAAGTTGGTGTACTGGTATTTTTTTTTTCTATATGCCACAGATAGGTAAGTTCATCCATTATCTGTCTTTCTCTTCCTGGATTACTCACGTAGCATAATACCCCAAGGTCTGTCCATGTTGCAGATGGCAAGATTCCCTTCCTCTTTATGGCTGAGTAGTATTCGTGTGTGTGTCCCGTTTTCTTTATCCACTTACCTGTCAGCAGACACTGAGGTTGTTTCTATATCTCAGCTGTTGTAAAGGATGAGGGTGTAGATACCTTCTTCTGGATTTTTTTTGATAACTGGGGAGAAAAGTTGTGTTTGTTTTCTTTCCACAAGTAGTGAGAAAGTTTTTTTTTGTTGTTATTGCTTCCTGGGAGTGCTTTTATTTTCAGTTTTGTTGTTTTTGAGTTTTTTTTTAATGTACATATAGATGATGTGTTTGCCTGATAGGAAAAAGGAAACTTGCTTGTTCTCTCTTTTTAATGGGTATATGGAACTTAAAATTTATAATTATTGTATTTCAGAAATGCCTATATAGTGATTCTATAAATTAAAACAAAAATTATTATTGGGAGCTATAGGTGTGTCTCAGAAGTTTTAGATTACTTATTTAGCACAATCGCCTGGCTCACATTTGGAGTTTAATAGAGTGCTTTTTTGCTTTTTTTAATGCTATTTCTATTAATCTGCAAAAAAATCATATCAAATTGGTAGGAAGTGAGTGGAGAAGAACACCTTAACACGTTAAGTGCCATGTCAGTCACCGGTGACTGACACTATACTCTCCATCCGGACCTCATCAGTTACTGGTTCAGGCCGGTCAGTCACTGTTGACTGATGATATACAATTTAAAAAATTATATTCTTCTATTCATAAATTTTAAATAACTTGAAGATCAAAAAAGAATGTACCTAAATATTACTTGTTACCAAAAAAATTTTTAATGAATATTATTAAAACACAGTCTACACAGAAATGGTTGTCCTGTGCAGGTTTCACAGACTGATATCTTTGAACTTTAGCCACTCTTCTAGTTTTTTGTTGCAGTTTGTGACGAGACATTTGAGGTATATTTACAGCACTGCCACTTGGAATTTCTTCATCCCGACAATTTGTTAGATGGACAGCTAATTTTTTCTGAAATTCTGTGATACTCCTATTCTTCTTGCTACTATTTTTAAATAAAATATGAGCATTGATATATGCTAAATGTAAACTCGTGTACCAGTTGTGTGTACAACGTGTGTTCCTTATTGAATACATCTCTACAAAGAGACATTACAACATTAGTTGGTGTCATATTTTCTTTTTCTAAACTTTTCCCTGCATATACACAAAAAGCATACGTGTACCCAGATCCTCAGCACAACTTAAATAATTTAATACCATATTTATGGCGTTTTTGTTTTAAATATTGCCTAAATATTATGTGGCCACGAAATGGTATCAAAGATTCATCGATACATAGAGCTTCAGATGCATCATAATATTTTTTGACATTTCATGTTATTAGTTGTATTTTGCATAAACGATTAGAAACATCTGTCTCCCTATTGTTTGAAAAATTCAGCATTTGTAATATTTCAAATCTATTTCTTGACATTTTTTTCGGGAAAGTTTGCATTTATGCAGGATCATGGGACCAGGTGAAAGGCATAGTCCTTGGCTAATTACCTCTCGGATCATGCCATTCTTCAAAATCCTTATCCTCATCCTCTGATGAAGAAAAAAGAACGACTTTACGACATTACTTAGAAAAACTAATTTCACTTGAATCGCTTTCACGTGCTTCTTCTGACATTGTCACTGTTCCGGGTAAAGAAAAATTTTTAAACTGCACTGGAACACGAACCACAGACAACTGACTGAAGAGAAAGCATTTCTAAAAGAATACAGAGTACAGATTGCGATAAATACATACAGAAATATATCTGAAGATGTACATGCAGTTTTATCGCAACCTTACACAGATCTCCGGCCGCCAGCATATCGGTGAAATCGGATATCGCGGGCTAAACGGAAAGGAAGACAAAACAGGCCTGGCACTTAACGTGTTAATATATGGTTTTATGTAGTGATTTTTTTTGTTTATTTGTTAATCCTCACTCAAGGATATTTTTCATTGATTTTTAGAGAGAGTGGAAGGGAGGGAAAGGGGGAAAGAGAAAAATATCCATTTAGTTGCTTCCCACATGGGCCCTGACGGGCCTAGTCAGGATCGAATCTGCAACCCAGGTATGTACCCTTGACTGAGAATTGGACCAGATGCTCTAACCACTAAGCACACCAGCTGGGGCTGTAGTTATTTTTATTTTTTTCAGAGAGTAAGGAAGAGGGAGAGAAAGATAGAAACATCATTGATGGAGAGGCATTCATCAGCTGCCTCCTGCACAACCCACACTGGAGACAGAGCCCAAAATCCCACATGTGCCCTTACTGGGAATCAAACCGTGACCTCCTGGTTCATAGGTCAAAGCTCAACCGGCCGGGCTATTTTTTTTTGAGGATTTAGATGTTGTGCAGTTTTCACTTTGGTGTTTTTCTTCTTATGTGGACTGTGTCTAATCAAAGCTGCTATTGTAGTCAGTTTTTGCATCATTTTCAGTTTCAGCTCAGGCTCCAAACTCTGCCATAACAGCTCCGACTGGTGTTGGGGTGGCATCTACAGTTCACCTAAACCCCATGCAGTTGATGACAGTGGATGCATCTCATGCTCGACATATTCAGGGGATCCAGCCTGCACCCATCAGTACACAGGGGATCCAGCCAGCCCCCATTGGGACCCCAGGAATACAGCCAGCACCAATTGGCACACAGGGCATTCACTCAGCAACCCCACTCAGCACCCAAGGACTTCAGCCTGCAGCAGTGGGGACTCAGCAGCCTCCGCCTGAAGGCAAAACTTCAGGTAATTGTCATGTTGGGCGTGAACTTTGGTGTGGAGAAAAGAGAGACCCTGGGTTTCAATTCTGATCTGCCACTTGCTGGCTTGTGGTCTCATCATTTCTCTAAGTTTTCGTTTTCACTTTGTAACATGAGATGCTTAGAACCTATCTGTCAGGGTCATTGTGGCTTTAGAAATGCATGAGCAGCCTTATAGCTGTTGGCACAGGTGAGGAGCACTCCATGGAAAGGGTTCTAAGTTGAGAGAACAGATTCACCTTGTAATAGGAGGACTCTCATTCCTTGCAGGAGTTTTTTAGGAGAGTTTATGTAACGCTGTAAAATTAAGATAGACTGGAATGTTTGGCACCATTTTTAGGATTGAACGTGGTTGTATTTTACCAAAACTGGGAGAAGATTTCCTGAAATATACTATACAATTATGTATTTTTCTCATTTTATTAATAATTACGACTGTAAGACAATGAAAATGGTTATTGATCATGCATTAGTAGGTGAGTAACCTCCTACTTGCCTTCTGCTTCTAGGCGCATGAGCGTGATGTTCCTATTTCCTATCGTCTTGAAATTGGATGGTCAGAACATGGAGACACTAAGTCTGGTGGTCTGATTGTTTCTACTTATCTTATGTGATACTTTAGTAATGTTTCTTTCATTTCCCTCTCCTCGTTGTTCTTGTCTGCCCCGCCCCTGCCTGTCTCCCAGCAATGGTGTTGGCAGATGGAGCCACAATCGTAGCCAATCCTATTAGCAGCCCATTCAGTGCTACTCCAGCAGCAACCACTGTGGTGCAGACCCACAGCCAGAGCGCCAGCACCAGCGCCCCCGCCCAGGGCTCCTCCCCCCGGCCGAGTATCCTTCGGAAGAAGCCTGCCACAGATGGGTGAGTGAACCCAGTAGTGCAGTAACCCCTCTGGTTCTGGTGTCACTTACGTAACTGGTATGATTGGGGTGTAGGCTGTGCTTGTGTTCAGCTCTAATAGCTCATGCCAATAGTGTTTTCAAGTGTTTATATCCACTTACACCCTTACCAGCTGTGCGAGTCACTGCGTTCATCACTACCAGGAGACACGGTGCTTGTTGGGTTTGAGGTGTTAGCTGTCTTGAGGACCAGCGTCTGGATGATTATTAGGCATTGTAACACGAGACACTCTGGTTGTCGCCACCTTCTCTCAGATCCACTCTTGTCTAACATGTGCTCCCACTCTGCGAAACTGAACGTGTCGAGCTCCCTCTGGACTCCACATTGTTAAATCCAGTGGTTAGTTCTCAGTCTGAGCAGTATTGGTCTTTGATCGCCTTGATCCATGTATGTTACTTGTCTTCCAGGAACTTGCTAGGTCAGCACAGATACACAGACACAGTAATGATCACCAATACTTACCATGGATTTAAATTATAGTGTGAAGTAGAAAGGAGATAGGCGTGCTAGAAAAACAGCTAGAAGAATCACGGTGCCTGCTTCCTAGAGCATGCTGGGTCAGAAGTGAGGAGGGAGGGAAGGGACTTGCTGTATTCTGTCTTGTAGTACTGTTAGACTATTCTCATAATATCGTGCCTATATTACTTTGATAAAATTCTTTAAAATCCATGAAAAATACTTAGCCAATGTAGTGCTTTTATTTTGCTGTCCGTAGCCTAGGCAGTGTGCCTTTTAATTCCCTTGAACTGCTGTTTTTTGTGTTTGTCTCTTTCAGAATTGCAGTTCGGAAAACTCTCATTCCTCCTCAGCCTCCTGAAGTAGCTAGTCCTCGAGTGGAGGGCTCCATGCGGAGCACATCCGGGTCCCCGAGGCCTGCAGGGTGAGCACGTCACTCAGGCCTCCAACCCCACATACAGTGGGGCCTTGACTTACGAGTTTAATTCGTTCTGTGATGGAGTCCATAACTCAGATTACTCGTATGTCAAATCAGTTTTCACCATTACAATGAATTGAAGTGCTGGGCTGATGTTGTGGCGTTCACTGTGACGTTCGCTGCGCCAACTAGCGGTGGGGTATCTGAAGCTGGCTCATAACCCGAATTTTAGCTCGCAACTCAAAGCAAAAAATCGGCCAAGAGACGGCTCGTATCTCAAAAAACTCGTTAGTTGGGACACTCATAAGTCAAGGCCCCACTGTAATTGGGAAGCAAAGAGTCTCACACATGTGACAAATTTCACATCATTTGCTTGTGTGCATTGTTTATGTGCTATTTCTAGCTGTATGGCCGGCACACAGTTTTCAACCTCTCTAACCCTCATTTGCTTCGCTTATGAAATGGGCATATATATATAACACTGAGCTCATCAGATACTTATCTTTTTATTTTTTGTAATGAGTTTTTTTAAAAAATATATTTTTATTGATTTCAGAGAGGCAGGAAGAGGGAGAGAAAGATAAAAATATCAGTGATGAGAGATAATCATTGATTGGCTGCCTCCTGCACGCCCCCCTACTGGGAATCAAGCCTGCAACCCGGGCCTGTGCCCTTGACTAGAATCAGTCCACAGTCCAACACTCTATCCACAGAGCCAAACCAGCTAGGGGGATATTTAACTTTTTAAATAAAATGACTCATTGAAAGTACTTAGAACCTGTGTCATAGTAAACACCCAGTTATTTCTGCTATCATCAATGGCATTGTGACAATAGTTCATTCACGCTTTTTTATTTTTTGTCACCTTAGTTCCAGAAGTGAAATTATTTTGGATAAAAATGAGACAATATAAAGACATTGATTTTTTTTTTTTTACAGAGGGGAATGGAGAGGGATAGAGAGTTAGAAACATCGATGAGAGAGAAACATCGACCAGCTGCCTCCTGCACACCTTCCACGGGGATGTGCCCACAACCAAGGTATATGCCCTTGTCCGGAATCGAACCCGGGACCCCCCAGTCCGCAGGCCGACGCTCTGTCCACCCAGCCCACCGGTTTTGGCCCATGTCTTTTTCTACATACACATATAGATAGATTGACAGATCCTTCCTCAAAAACAAGATCTTACTGATTGATTTTTCTGTATCTTACTTTTTTCTGCTTATCGCTTACCATGTTAGTATTTTTAGATCTACTTCATTCCAAATAATTATGAATGCCTAATATGTGCCAAGTGTCGTTTTAAAATCTGGAATTATATAAGAGTGACTAAAATTACTTTCTAGTGAGTGTAAAGAAATAATAAAAAGAAAATGTAAAGTGAACATAAACTGATGGAGGAAGAGATGCTGTCTTACAGAAAGGCTCATCTCACCAGACGCTAAAGAGCCTGAAGGAGTCAGCCATATGCTCCCTGGTCTTTGACTATCAGGCAGAGGAAAGAGCGGGGATCAAGGTTTTGGGGCCGTAACTTTGCACACTAATGCAGGAATGTTAGAAAGTAAAATGCAAACTGAAACTGCAAAGTGGTCTTAATCAGTGGGGCAAAATAAAATCATTATATGAGCTTTAAAAACACTTGTGAAAATATTAACTGTCAGTTAATATTTTAACTGACAGTTACAATAGATAGGAAATGACAAAATAGTGAAACTAATATTTACTTAGTATGCTGTAATTCAAAACATTAGAAATATTGAGAATTCAAATGTTTTCTTTCTTAAAATGATTCAAAAATATTGGGAACATGCTGACCTTCACATTGTGTGACTTGAATGCAGGACAGGAGTTTGTCTGCCATGATGAACTGCATCACCCCTCTGAGTTTGGGTCTGCTCTGCCCCTTTTATTAGCACAGTTGGCATAGAATCATATACAGTCAAGCCTTGGCCTTGATTATCTCCCATCTTCAACAGTTTGGTTCCCGACCAAGCTGTTCACAGAAAAAATGTCTCAGTTCTTGAGCAAAACTTCAGTTCTCAACCCAACACTTCCCTTTCATGCTGATACCTGTAGGAGCAGCCACACATCTCTCAGGCATCCAACAAAGGAGGGAGGGTGCGAGTGTGAGTCAGTAACCCCTAAATCTCACAGTAACCTCTCAAGAAATTGTGCTGTGAATATTTTGGTGGGTTTCTTTTTTCTGCTTTTGTTGCTGCTGCTTATTATTAAATACATACAGTAAGTCACCATGGGTCCTAAGAAGGTTAGCCATAGCAGCAAAGTGAAAAGGAAAGTTGTGAGAACAACAATAGAGCTTAGACATGTAGTGTATATATAAAAGGTTAAAACGGAATCATTTGGGGGTTTGGAATGGATTAATTCAATTGAAATTAATTCTAAAGGGAAATAATGATTCGGTTTTTGTACAAATCGCTTCTTGAATTGCCTTCTGGAACAAATTAGGTTTGAGAACCAAGATTCCACTGTAGTAGTTTTAGGTGTAGAACGATGATTAGACGTTTATATATCTTACAGTGTGCTTTCCCCATATTCTTTACTGTATACCCTTCAACTTTTCCTCCCAGCCTCAGCCCCTCCTCTCTGGCAACCATCATTTGTTTCTGTAAGTCTTTTTGTTTGGGGTTTTTTTTAATGCTACATATAACTGAAATTACTCAGTATTTGTCTTTCTCTGATTTATTTCACTTAGCATAGAACCCTTTAGGTTCATTTATGTTGTCACAAATAGGATTTAATTCTTTTTATTTCTGAGTAATATTCCATTATATATATGTACCACATCTTCCTTATCCATTCAACTATCGATGGATACCTAAGTTACTTCCATCTTGGCTATTTTAGATAATGCTGAAATGAACATTTTTAAAAAATAGTTCAACTAAGTGCCGTGACAGTTGTATGGCATAGGCTTGTAAAGAGCCCACCAACAAGGTCATCTGGCCAGAGGAGGGCAGAATGGGCAAGAACCCCAGGCAACCCTGGTGCTGGCCGGCCATGCCAAGTGCTGCAGCACCCAGCTCTTGCTATGGCAGCAGGAGGACCTGGTGGTGCAAGCCCTGCTGGCAGGAGGCAGGGATCTGAAAAACTGGTGTTTTTCATTTCCTTCTAATAAAAACCTAGAAATGGAATTACTGGGTCATCTGGTAGATGTACTTTATTGTTTTGAGGAATCTCTGTATTGTTTTCCACAGTGGTTATACCAGGTTACACTTCCGCCAACAGTGCCCGCGGGTTCCTTCTCTCCACATCCTCGCCCACACTTACTGTTCATTATCTTTTCTCAGAGCCATTCCGGCAGGTGTGAGGTGGTCTCCTGGTTTTGCATTGCATTTCCCTGATGATTACTAATGTTGAGCAAGTTTTCATACGTCTATTGGCCATCTCTATATCTTTGAAGAAATGTCTCTTCCCTCTTAGAACTGTTTTTGCTGCATCCCATAAATTTTGGAAATTTGTGTTTTGTTTCAAGTTATTTTTGGATTTTCTGTTTGACTGTCTCTTTGATCCATGGGCTATGTAGTAGCATGTTATTTAATCTCTACATGTTTGTGTTTTTTCTAGTTTTCTTGCTGTAGTTGATTTCTATTTTTATGCCAGTTTGGGCAGAAAATATATTTGATATAATTTCAATCTTGAATTCTTTGAGGCTGGTTTAATGCCCTAACATGGTCAATCCTGGAAAATGATCCATGTGCATGTGAGAAAAATGTGTACCTGCAGTTTGGGAATGAAATATTTTATAAATGTTTGTTAAGTAATCTGCTCTAATATGACATCAAAGCCATTGTTTCCTTATTAACTGCCTTGTGTAGGTGATCTATGCCTTGTGGTAAGTAAGGTATTAGGTCCCCAATTGCTGTTGTATTAACTGTTAAATTCTGCCTTTGTGTCCATTAATATTTGCTTTATGTTCTTTGGTGCTCCTCTGTGGGGTACACTTGTATTTAGAGTTATATCCTCTTCTTGGCTGGACTCCTTTATCATTATGTAATGTCCTTTATCTCTTCACAGTCTCTTTTGTCTGAGTGTTGCTACCACAGCTTTCTTTTTCTTTCTATCTGCACAAAAATTTTTTTCCATCCCTTTACCTTCTGTCTGTGTGTCTTTTATCTAAATTGAGTCTCTCATAGGCAACATATACAGTGGGGCCTTGACTTACGAGTTTAATTCGTTCCGTGATGGAGTTCGTAACTCAGATTACTCGTATGTCAAATCAGTTTTCACCATTACAATGAATTAAAATGCCATTAATCCATTCCGGACACCCAAAAAACACCGCAATTGTTTTGTCAAATGTTTTTAAATAAGAAAAATGTATTTAAAAATAACAAATATTGTATAAAAACACAATACTGAACAATAGAATGTAGTGCAATACACTTGTTTTATTAAGTTAAATGTAGAGCATTTACCTTGGAGATCAAACGACTTGAAGATGCTGATGGAGTTGGAGGAGAAAGGCTGAACTGAACAACTGAGTAACTGAATCTTATTGCTGATTTTTGCCCTTTTCGCCACGCTTTCATCACTTTCATCTACAGGAGTTTTCGATAAAAACCTGTCCAATGAGATCTGTTCCATCCTCCCTTTCAGAATATTTCTGAAATGAGTTAGGCAAGTGTCATTAAATAGATCCA